TTAAAGATGGGAAACCAGAAATTAAAGTGGACGGCGGAGGAAGAGGAGGCGTTACGCGCCGGAATTGAAAAACACGGCACCGGTAAATGGAAGAATATTCTCCGGGATCCCGAATTCGCTGATCAGCTCACCAGTCGCTCCAACATCGACCTAAAGGTCTGTTTTTTCCCCCCTGTTTGACCTCTTTAACCACTTGTCTTTGAACAATACAAAACCTAGCTATCGGAGTTTGAGTCTAACCGTGGAGTGCAATTTGCACTTAGTCATGTCGGAATTAAGGTTAAGATCCTGAGGATATCAAATCTTTGTCCGGTCCTGCGGTTTTACTTTTGGGTTTAGGTTAATAATCTTTGTTCTTTAAAGGTTTAAGACAGGTTATGAACAATCTTTCAATATGATTTGTCATAAGATTTGTTGATGCCTGGAATACATATGAACCCTACAAATTGTTGAGTGGAAAGAACAGTACTTTTCCTTCATCCTTCACTTAAAGGATTAGAATTTTGCAATGGATTTTCTCTTTTAAAGGATTATATGTGTTTTCTATACTTTGTAGGATAAATGGCGTAACTTGAGTGTTGCCCCCGGTATTCAAGGCTCAAACTATAAGGCGAGGCCAATGAAAGTCAAAGATGAAGACGTCGTTCTACCTGCAGTTCCAGATGTTGCAATCGATACTCCACTTCCTAATGATAACTCTTCTTCTTCACCACCTGCTTCCCTTCCGCGTAGTGATTTGAACATTGATCGCAGATGTAACATTGTGGTGGATAGGAACGCTCCCAGGTTTGTCTTTCTTCATTATCTGTTCCTCGTGCTTGAAGCGGCCAGAACTTATCCGTGCAGTACTAAACTTCTGATGAGTTGCTATTTTCAGGTATGATGGGATAATATTTGAAGCTCTCTCTACTTTAGCGGATGCAGATGGATCTGATGTCGGTTCCATTTTCAACTACATCGAGGTTAGACAGGTTTCTCTTTCCTCTTCGTTTTGCATTGATCAGAAGTCAGAAACTCTCTGTGCTCGATTCGTTAAACTAATTCATAGGATTATTAGATACTCGCCGTCTATATATGGAGGAGGGGTAGTTTTGTTATTGCCACATGTAAACTGCATATACATCGACTTTTGCAAATGGCTTATCGTACTTGAGGTCTACATGTGTTAGACATATCTGAACTCTTGTCTAGTCTTTTGAATATCTACATTGTCTGTCGTTATGTATCTTTTCCAATTTGCCGGACACATATGTGCCAGTGTTTTTAGTTCTAATTTGCAAATGAGAAGATTTAAGTTAGTAGAATCAGCAATCTTCTTATGATTCGTCATTCCCAAATATTAACGCCAAGTTCTAAATGTACTTTGGCGTTTATGGTATGATGATAGTTGTTGTCCTAAAGCTATCTGTTATTCTTATTCTCCATAGTGTCCTTATGGAACTTATGGTTGAGTTCTGAATGTATGATGATTGTTTACTGTGGAAAGAGCAGCCAAGGCATGAAGTGCCGGCAACTTTTAGAAGAATCCTTAGTTCAAGACTGAGGAGGCTTGCAGCTCAGGGAAAACTTGTAAAGGTTACCTACTTAAAACCTGTAAGTCTTGAAGCTCACTTCTCATTCTTTTGGGTCACATTTTGTTTTTAAATTGCATGGGTTCAAGCTTCTTGATCTAATGTTCAATATAAGAAATCCTGCTTCATCGTGTTTCTTTAAAGCCTTCATGTTTCCTCTCATACCATGTCTTTTTTAATAACAAATCTCGTGTTGAACAATCAACCACACAGCAGTTACAGAACTTCTATAAGATACCAGATCCATCAGAAACAGTAACACCTGCTCCAAAACCAAAGGAGACAAATACGAAACCCCGACAATCAAACAATCAGGCTTCCACAGTTTCACAGGTGATGATCGAGGAAGCTGCAATAACCGCTGCCTACAAACTCGTAGAAGCAGAGAATAAAACAGACGTTGCCAAAGTAGCAGTAGAAGAGTTGGATAAGATGACTAAACTCGCAGAAGAAACCGAATTTCTCATGGAGTTAGCTAAAGAGATGCGTGAACAATGTAATAAAACCGAACTTACCATTTTCTCATTCTTCCTTCTTTCAAAGTCTAACTTCCAGTGGTTCTATTGCAGGTTCTCGTGGGGAGGTTGTGCTTCTGGCTTGAGTCTTTGAGCTCGTCGGTCTCACTTCAGCTCGGGCCTTAGACTCATAATCTCTTCGGACCAAAGATCAAAACTCGTGA